GGGGGACATTGGAAACATTTCCTCCCCAAAATCAGTGGTGGAGCCCCGATCCTTGCAGAGACTTCACAGCCATGGGGATGTGGCACTTGGGACATGWGGTGGGACACGGGTTGGTGGTGGCCTCGGCAGCTCTGGGTTRGTGGTGGGACACAATGRTCTGAGAGGRCTTTTCCAAACTCTRTYGCTCTACAGATCCCTGAAAYGSAGCAAAGGCAGGCAGGGCTTGTRYCAGGAYGTGCTGGGGTGGGTTCTTTTAATCGCTGCACTCAGAGAAATTGCAAACAATGTTGGCTGTGGAGCAAGAGATTTACAGGCCTTTTCCTCTCGTTGCCTTAAGCTTTAAGTTGCAATGAAAACGACGGTGACCACCTGGACAGAGACCAGCAATACCCCAGCAATCAAAAAACAAAACGTATGAGGACGTCCTTCAAACACCACCAACTGAGGACAATGAAGTCATACTTTGCTATAAACCACAATCCCGATGCCAAGGACTTGAAACAGCTAGCTCAGAAAACAGGCCTCACCAAAAGAGTTCTCCAGGTAAGAGCAGCCTTCTGTCTTGAAAAGGAATCAAAATATCCATTTTGGTGTTTAAAATGGAATGGATTTTGCTGGTTTTCGAGCCATTCTTCATCATTCGTGCCCTCTCTGAGGCTAAGTTGATTCCCAGAAAGTAGAAGAGTTATTTCCTTCCAGTTTCTCTAAAGCAGATCACTTGGGTTCTAATTTTTTATGAGAGTTGTGAAGGTTYGGGGCCCTGCTTGTTTTCCTGGAGTCCTGTAATTCTGGTGCATGTTTTAGCTTCCAGGCTGCTGTAAAAAAAGGTGACTTATTTTAGTTACTTTGCTGACTGTAAATAGAGATCTTTTAGTTTAGAAATTCAGAAAACATGTCAATGTTCACCTTTGTAAGAAATTAATCAACAGTTTGAATTCATTTTATCAGGACAAGGAGGAGGGCTTTGTTTTCATAACTGAAGTGGACATAAATTTTTCAAACTTTTTTTTTTTACTCACAGTTTAGCAACATAGAATGAAAAGAAACYGTATTTAAAAGTACTTTTTCTTACTTGTACCCTGAGGATGACACTGTTGGAGGCAATTCCAGAAAATGGCCTGGAGTGATATTTTGTCTGGTATCACTTGAACAGCTGTAGTGCCCTTGCTGAAGAGACAGCCCCACATGCCATGTAATGAGGGAGCTTTGTAGGTGAGCAGAGAATTTGAGCATTTTCGAAATGATCTGTGATCCTGGAGTTGGAAGCCCTGACTGGTGTCTTTATAAACAATTTGTCACCAGCTGCACATGGCCCGTGGTGGGGTGGCCTGGAAATGTAAACTCTGCTTCTCAGGATGCATTTCCTTCGATGCCGTGGTAATGCACACTGCTCCCCTGAAGAATCCCCACTAGAATTACAGGAAGCTTGTTTATATTTTTAACACCTATTTTTGTTTCTTTCCAATTTAGGTTTACATTTGCAATTTAATTCATATACCCCTTGTACTAGAGCTGGGAGCACAAGCCCTTTTTTGTGAGCTATCATTCMTAATTAAAGGCCCAGCTAACTTGAGCTAACTAACCTAACTGGCATAAATGCTGCTCTTTGGGGAGCTGATCTTTCTTTCTGGGAGTTTAGAAAAGGAAGGTGGGAGTGATAGCCCTGAGGAGGTACGGTGTGTTGGCTATAGGTGTGTACCTMTTCTCTCACCAGGGGTCAGGAAGAACATTATCCACAGCCAAACCACCTTAGGAACATCAAGTGTCATTATTCAGTGGGTGTCTTGAACACTGCTTATTTTTTCTTGAATCAGCTCCCAGTAAAGTTGCTACCAGAGCCCTTCAGAGATCACTGCGTACATTTGGGCTTTGCTGGTCCAGTTTCCAGCGGCCAACAAGCCTAAAGTATTCCCATCCCATGTGGGGACCTGTGCTGGCTTTTTTAGCTTTAGGCTGCAGGCTCATCCCAAGCCCCCCTTCATTAAACATCCCTTTGACTGGACAGTTACTAATTACAGCAGAGTAATCACAATGTGTGTGCAATTGTGGTGCTACATCCTCTATATTTTGTTTCTCCACTAACTAGTTAGTGAAATTCAGAGAACYTGAACATCTCCAGGTAGCTGTGTGAATGAGTAAAATTGGTTTTAAAAATTTGTTTTTAGCAGAAGCAGTTAACATAGCTAATATGTAAGAGGTGGAGCTATGGAGGTGTTACAAACCAGAAAATGAAGTTATCTAAGGTGATGATCTCATTCACTTCAGTATCCAAATCCCTCACGACACTTAGTGTGTTTATTTTCAATACTCCCTTATMATATGAAGATGTTATTTTATTACTATTTGACTTGGTGGACACAAAGAATTGGCTGCACAGTTCGCTGAAGAGGGAGTGCAGCATTTTCACCTCAGTAAATATTATTCTGCTAACAGCTGAGTGCCCAGCTCCTCACATCCAGCCCTGCTCACCGCAGTGTGGGAGCAGCAGTGGTGGGTCCTGCAGCTGCTTTTTCTATTTCAGGGGGAGTTCTGGTCCATATTTCCCCCTTTGATTTGAAATAGCTCAGCCTTGTACTGATACAGTTGGACAGAAACCCACTAAATACTTCCCAATGATTTTATTTATTCCTCAGTCCTGAAGGAATTGTGTAATTGATGTGAGAGAAGTCCTTCTGGAAGGATTCTTTCAGTGGTGTATGTTTGGGTGGTTATTTGTGCCATGCCCTGGCAGGTGAAGAGTTTGAGCTGAGTAATGATAGTAATGATAGAAATATTTATTATTAGACAGCTTTGAAGAGTCTTATAACCATTAACTGATTAACCTTGACAATATTCCAGTGAGGGAGTGAAAGCAGTCATACAATCTCTATTTTTGAATAATACTTGCACGATTTTATGTTATTTTCAATGTCTAACATGAATTCCCACTAACAAAGAGGCAATGAGCTGTGTTATATGTGCAGCTCCTGAAAGCCATGTGGGTGGTCATTGCTAARGGCAGCTGAGCTCCAGTTTTCATATTAGCAGAATGCTATACTGAACACTTACAAAATCATGACAATATTTTCACCTGTGCTGGTTTAKGAGAACTTTTCTTTTTGTATCTGAAACTGATAAACAGCCTTTAAATGAAATGTTTTAACAAAGGGAATGCCAACATAAACTGGTTTAAAATAAGAGCTTGCAGAAAGAAGGACCTGTAGGGATGTGAGTGGGTCTTTAATGCCATTCCAGYCTCTTTTCATTATTCCAGTACCAAAAACATTTGATAAAGGAAACAGGCACAGGCGAAGGGAGCGGAAGCATTTGAGAAAGAGTAAGAGAAGAGCAAGAGAGAGGGGCAGTCCTTTCAGMAGAGGGGAACACTGCAGCACGGGGATGTGAGGGAGCTCCTGGGTGAGCAGGAGCCCTGGGAAGGCAGCGTGGCCTTGGTAGGAGATGGACATGAGATACACGGAGGGGAAACTCCTGATTTTGTGTTCATCAGGTGCTCACTCTCTGCCTCACACAGCCAGGGGGTGCTGGGATCCAGGGCTCCCCAGGATTCCTGCAGGCTGCCACATTTCTAAGATCCTTTTACACAGACAGAACACCATCCTCTATCCCCAGTCCACTCCTGACCCAGGCAGACTCTGAAGTTTCCAGGACTGRAGGAGAGGGAAGGAGGAATATTTTGCAGACAGAGGCCGCTTCTCATGGCTAGGGCTCCTTTTTGTTATCAGTAAAAACATCTTTCCCAATTCCAGCATTGATGAATTTGTGAATGTGCTTTTGCTTWATTGAACACTACAGGTCTTAAAACGCTACCCTGTTGTATTAAACTATTTCAGGTTTGGTTTCAAAACGCTCGAGCCAAATTCCGACGGAACCTCTTACGCCAAGAAAACACAGGGGTGGATAAGACTTCAGACTCAACACTCCAAGCAGGGACCCCCTCGGGTCCTGCCTCAGAAATMTCCAATGCCTCCATGAGTCCATCCAGCACTCCCACTACTTTAACGGACTTGACAAACCCCACTATGCCAACGGTGACGTCGGTCTTGACATCGGTGCCGGGAAGTCTTGAGGTTCATGAATCTCGAAGTCCTTCACAGACGACTCTTACAAATCTTTTCTGATGACTCTTTCTTAATAATTTCTTTAAAAAAGAAATTATTCTTAGCTGAAATTCCAAGTGTATTTTAATAGAGGCTTTGAGCAACTGACTAACCACGATTAGGATCTCTCCTAAAAAAACCTAAGAAGGAAAAGTAGTGTTCTGGTATTACGGAGTGTGGAYTGAAGAATAACTTGGAAGATCTATTGCAACACAACATTTGTGTAACTGTACAGTTTTGTGGACTGAGCAAGGGAAACAGCAATTAATTTAAGTTGGCTAAAGCTTCTGTATTTTCAAAGACTGCCATGTGCCTTATATACTGTTTTATCTACATTCTTTGGATTCCATGTCCACTTCTCTCTTTTTCTCTCTGTATATTTATGACCAGGGCAAAAATGTTAAAGAGTTTGTTACTTTGAATAGTCCTAAGCCTTTCATTGGTTGCTTTGTTGTTTTAGAATTTTAAGGTTGAAGTCTGTTCGAATACCAGAATTTGTAAAATCTAACCAGTAATAAAACCACTTATGGAAACTACTTGGTAATGACTGCAGTTACATTTAACATTAGTGTCACAATCGAGGTAGGCTCACTGGATTGAAAAGAGTTAGAAAACTGCACTTCAGATACAGTATCTGCCTAGGAAAAAACTTAAATATCATATACACATTCCTCCTGTTCCCAAAGTATACATGGGTGAGAAATCCAGCTTGCACAATGGTCTAGGTATCTTCACTGTAGGGAAATCATGTTAGTTGCAGGTAGGAGTTATCAGATAATGTTAAAACTCAAACAGAACAACTACACCTCATTTTGCTGCGGGAAGGAAACCTGACTTTGGCCAGCCTGTATGAAACAATCTTGTTTTTGTGCAAGATGTGGCTTTTCCCTGCCCTGGAGGAGGCCGTGGGAGCTGCTGCTKTGTCCATCACACGGGAGGGGTTTTCCCTGGGAAAAGGACAGAAGTGTTTCAGGTTATTTTATAACACWGGTGGGCAAAGTCGAGGCAAAATTATGTTTTATAAAGTCACAGCCTTACATTTTTTGTAATGCTTTGAAGGAATAAAAAGCCGAGGAAGAATATATTCTTGACACTAAAAGTGGTTACTCCTTTAATGATTATGGACCTTTCAATACAGTTGAACTCCTTCTCCCMAAAAATCTCTGCAGAATATAACTCACATTTTGAGGTTTTTTCCTATTGTTTTTAAAATTGCTTTTCTTTAATAAAAGAAATACCTCAGCAAAGTTTAAATATGTGTAAGAACGAGTCTACACGATGCTGTTTGCCCAGTAGGTTTAGATGTTTGGGGTGGTACAGAAGGTGCAGATGGTTGTTCCTTTTCAAACCTGTCCCAATCAGTTCTTTCAGTCGGATGTTGGGTTGTATTGGCCACTTCTCTCAAACYAATCCCTCATTCCCATTGGATCAGRACTACTAAAAGATTATTCCAAATAAACAGCAAGACAGATGCTAAGATTTGTGTTCTTTGCCCTTCTCAGGGCATCGAAGATGATTTTGTAGGCTGGACTCTTTCCTGACAATGTTTTGGTTTTAAAAGTGCTACATTTATTCAACTTTCTGAGCTGCAAATTTGCCATTCTTGTGCAAGCCAAATTCCTATCGAGATCAGGGAGAGATTTCAGAGCGTGAGGACTGTGGGATAGAAAAGCTGACATAATTGGGTCATTTATTAACCTTTTTTACACTTCAACCTAAAAAAACCCCACTGGTGAGCTATGGGGAAACAAGCCAGTCCTCAAAAGATGGGCACTGAGATCTGTGGGGTGTGGTCCCAAACCCATGGGTGGCACAGTCCGTTGAGTTTATAAAATGATGAGATAATAAAAAAGATAATTAGTGTTGAAGTGATCAATGTTACAGGTTTGCCCAGGACATTTTTCCTGTCTAATCCAAATGTCTAGTAAGGACGTTGTGCTGGTTGATGGACTGTAACAGATACATCTCTGCCTTTCAAAGCTGTTCTGACACGGAGATTCTGCTGTTTGTAATGTTTTGTTCCTTGTCAATCACCTCGGAGATTTCTTTTTTTAACATTCTTAGCTGGATCTTTTCTTGATTTAAAAGGCAATTTTGGTCCACTGTTAAATGGTTACAGCCCATAATTAAAACCCTTTGTATTAACCTGTAAACAGGTAAAAAAATCTGAATCCTGAAATCTGAAGTGTTACAAATGTAGCAGAGAACAATTCCAATGGTTCTTTCAAATTGTACTGCTCTTATTTGTGATCTTGTGTCCTAACTACCTGAATCCACGTGGATGGAAACACCTTTCMAATCCATTCTCAATATTGCCTTTTCAAACACCCAACCTTCATGAAGGGGAATACTCTCATGTTCATCTTATCTGAAACCTAKACGAGACAATTAGAGAAATTGTCTGGTTTAATCAAATCAGGGATTTTGCATATAAATAAGAGACAATATTCTATGTAGGGTCTTTATGTAGGTGCATTAGGATTCACTCTGGCTCCAATGACCTATGTTGTCCCCATGATTGTTTCAATCCTGTGGTATTGTTTGGTTGTTTAGAGCTTGTTGGTTTTGAATGCTGTACATTTTTTTACTACTGCGATCCTAATGTTTCTTCACATTCTTGTACAGTTCCACAGTTTGATGTATTAGTCTGAAATTCTGTTAAAAACAYGAACAAAAATGGAAATGATATTTCTTTGGAAGTGTATTTTTACTGTATATCTAATTTGAACTAGTTGAACATACTTCTTTACATTTTGCATGATAGGTGTGTAGTTCCTTTTTTAAATATGAAAGAGACTWAATAGTAACTTAGAACAAGAATATAATGAAACTATACAAATATGGAAATACATACAAKGATTTGCTACTTTTTGACTCAAGAAGCTTTTTGAAATACATTTTATCTAGTTTATTTTAGATAATCCAGATATTTTGTCTTTGAGTTCATACATAATATAGAATMTAAAAGGGGATTACGTACTAGAAAAATTTTCAAGTCACCTTGGTATTCACCAGCACTGGATCATTTGATTTTAAGTAAGGACATTTGATTTTAAGACAGCTGAATATATTTTGACCAACAGCTTAAAATTTATTGACTCTATTAATRGCTACATTTCATAAAACTTATCTTTTATTCAAATGATCTAAGTTTGGGAAGAGAAGACCAAGGATCATTATACTAATGAAGAAGCTGAATGTGTGCCCTGGAAGCAAAAGTCAATTTATCAAATATACTGTGGATGCAGAAGGTGCCTCCAAGATATTTTGGTTTTCAAACTATCTTTTCCTCCTGGCTGTTTAAAAACTCCACATAATTAGGCTTCTTTCCCATAAATGTTYGCTATTTTTTGTCTGTTGGAAGGAAGCTTGAGCACCTGTAAGAGCAATTTTCATCTAAAGGGAAAGGAGAAAAAGACACAAATCAAAATAAGAATCAGGCTTTGTACTTAGGTGTGATGATGGCAAACACATCCAGGTGACTGAAAGAAATTTTGTGTGTACATGCTTAAGTTCTTCAGTGACTTACTTAATAGTGCTTGGAAGGAGGGATTTTAACATCAGACCTGKCCATGGTCAGGAGACAGATTTCCAGCAATGATTTCCACAAGCAGCAAACACTCCCAGGCCTATCAGACAAACATTGATATTATTCCCATTTCTGCTGATTTGGACTCTCCCCCCAACCTTTCATACTCATTAAACAAGAGCTTCACGCCACCATCCCCCCCAGGAAAACCTGAGCAGAGCAGGACAGGGCTGGGAATGGCATTTATCAGCCTGACAATCCCTTTTCTCAAGTAGATAAAAAGATACACTGRGCATTTCATGGATTTCTGTGCAGATTAGTGCCAGGTTAGCAGCCTTTTCTGGCCTAGGAGCTGGATTTTTGTAGCAACTGACTCCAGTAAATATTTGGGGGTTTTGGTTTGAGCAAAACAGTGCTTAAAATATGCAACCTGCTGTCAGTAAATTCAGACCTTGCAGTATCATTTATTGTACTAATGCATAACACCGTGCAAATTATTATTTCTGGAGAATACCACTTCTGTGCAAGTTCTTCTTTGCCCTGCAAAAGGCATGGCTCTGCATATGTATTTACACAGCTTGTTTACACACCACTATATCAATTCATTACATTGTAAAATACAGCACTTAACAGGAAGTTATATTTTTGCAACAACATCTAGAAAAAAGAAATAATTAAGCTTTTCATTAAAGAAAGAAATCTATTTTTTCCCCTGCATATCTTAGCCCAGTAGCTATGGGAAGGGAAAAAAAAGGGAAGGACACAAATATTTGGAAAGCATGACTTTACTCTACATTATTTTAATTGATAAATCTCATTTACTCTACATTATTTTAATTGATAAATCTCAGAATGCCTCTCTCCAGTGCATCCAGAGCCTGGGCTGATTAGAGCTGGGATGCCCCAATGGATCTGCAGCACTGCAAACACTGAAAGGTTTTTTTCTTGTAGTGACACAAAACTACCGAGGCCATTACCCATCCATGGCCCAGTAATTACTGGGAATATCATGTTCCTTSGTTGCTACTCAAAACCAGTGAGAAGATCCTCAGGCTGTGGTAATTTAGTGTTTAGYGTTCCCTGAAACAGGTATGGATTTTCCATGGGCATATTGGTGCCATACAGAGTGTCAGCCATAAAGAGCTCCAATCCATGGGTTATTTGTGTTGGCTGAAGGCTGCAGCAGACAGCCAGAGATGGCTCCTTCCCTACAGASCCAASCCCCAAATTCTCCCAGTGCAGACCTTACTGGCTCTCCTCGATGACTGAAGGAAGGAACGAGTCCAAGAGAYATCTTTATGTTCTCATCAGAGTGCACAGGTTCCAACTATTCTTTTCTGATTTCAACCTCCAGCCTACAGAARCTGCTCTTTCACCAACTCTTTATTTTGCCTTCCCACGTCATTTCCTTGTGATTCATCAGTGGTTTTTTGCTGTCCTTCCTCAGGAGATGACGACTAACAAAAGAGACAGTCTGTAATATGGCTTTGCAGGCTGTGATTGAGCAAGAAGCTGATGCCAAGCCTCACCCTAGTCTGGGCAAACATTCTGGGAACGTGGGGAAGAGCAGCTTGTGAGAGGCCACTCTGTCACCCACAGACAGAGGAGAGAGTAAAGGGACATCATTGCTTGGGCCAAGCCTCCCGAGCATCTCATCACTTGAACCCAGACCTTCTGAGAATTTCTTGATGCCCTAGGAAACTTTTTGAGGCAGAAGAACACTTTATTTATCATTTCTTTTGTGATTATTCCAGACAGGCAGTTCCAGCTCTTTCCCCTGTACATCCCAGAACACTTTCTGCTGGAGCACAGACTGTGTCTGGTGGATTTAACSCTGCTGACCACGGACTTGCCTTTGTTATTCCCATGCACAGATCCCTCAGAAGTAGCTCAAAAGCTTTTGTGTCCACTTTTGTTCCTGTATGATCTGACTGTTTTGAGAAGACAAGTGTGAGCAGCCCGTGGGCTGGAGAGGAGACATTTCATAGCCAGGAGCTTGCACTGCTCTTTGAAAGGAGGCTCTTCCCCAGTGCTGGCTGCACTTTGATCTGGCCAGGGCTCACAGGAGAGTCCTTGGGATGGCTCCTGCCCGTCCTGATGATGCCTTTTGGAACTGATGTTGTGTTTAAAGAAATCCATCACGGGCGTTCCACCGCCTCAACACCCATTAATGCCCACCCAGACTGTCTCCATTTCAACTCCCATTAATGCACACCCAAACTGTGCCCATTTCAGCTCCCATTAATGCACACCCAAACTGTGCCCATTTCAGCTCCCACTAATGCCCACCCAAACTGTCTCCATTTCACCCATGGGTTCCTCACCCAACACACAGAATGACAGCACCACTCACAGCACAGCAATGCCATGGATG